GGAAGCGGATGAGGTAGCAGAGCACCATTCTGTTGATCCGGGGCAGGGAGTGCACCACGGCGATGGCGGCCTCGGGGTTCTCGTAATGGCCGATGCAGCGCTCGTAGAACTCGTGCGGGATCAGCGGCTCCTCCAGCTCGCGGTACCACAGCTTCAGCAGCGACGCTGTGTGAGGAGCAGGAGATCCTCAGAAGGTTGGAGACTGTCCAGGTGGACAACCCTGAACCACCCCCATGGAGACCTTCTGGGTGGACGACCCCAAACTGCTCCCATGGAGACCATCCAGGTGGACAACCCTGAACTGCCCCCCCCAGACACTGGGTGAGGAGCAGGAGATCCCCAGAAGGTCAGAGACCATGCAGGTAGACAACCCTGAACCATCCCCATGGTCAGAGACCTTCTGGGTGGACAACCCCAAAAAGCCCTCCCGGACCGTCCCTGGACGCTGGACACGGGGCAGAAGATCTCCAGATCTTCTGGAGACCTTCTATGTGGACAACCCCGAACCACCCCCTGGAGCATCCCCAGATGCTGGGTGAGTAGCAGGAGATCCCCAGAAGGTTGGAGACTGTCCAGGTGGACAACCCTGAACTACCCCCATGGAGACCGTCTGGGTGGACAACCCCAAAAAGACCCCCCAGAAGCTGGGTGAGGAGCAGGAGATCCCCAGAAGGTTGGAGAACTTCAGGGTGGACAGCCCCAAACCGCCCCCATGGTCAGAGACCTTCTGGGTGGACAACTCCAAAAAGCCCTCCCGGACGGTCCCTGGACGCTGGACACGGGGCAGAAGATCTCCAGATCTTCTGGAGACCTTCCAGGTGGACAACCCCGAGCTGCCCCCCTGGATGGTCCCCGGAGCTGGACACCGAGCAGGAGATCCCCAGATGGTCAGAGACCTTCAGGGTGGACAACCCTGAACCACCCCCATGGAGACTTCCTGGGTGGACAACCCCAAACTGCCCCCATGGAAACCATCCAGGTGGACAACCCCAAAAAGACCCCCCAGACAGTGGGTGAGGAGCAGGAGATCCCCAGAAGGTTGGAGAACTTCCGGGTGGACAACCCTGAACCGTCCGTCCCCATGGTCAGAGACCTTCAGGGTGGACAACCCCAATAAGACCCCCTGGACGCTGGGTGAGGAGCAGGAGATCCCCAGAAGGTTGGAGAACTTGAGGGTGGACACCCCCGACCCACCCCCAGACCATCCCCACCCGCGGGTCCTACCAGGAACGTGCGGGTCTTCCAGGCCGGTGGGGATCTTCCATTGGTCCACCTGCAGCTTGAGGGCGTTGACCTCGTCGATGTCACCGGGGACCCTGCGGGGAGTGACCGGTGGAGTGACCAGTGGAGTGACCAGTGGGGACACGGGTGGTCAGCACCTTCGGGTGCTCCGGGGGAGGTGGAGGGGACAGCGGCTGTGCCATTGGTGGAGGTGGGTGGGGACACCGAGACCCCACGTTGGTGGCATCGTGGAGGAACCGCCATGGCCTTGCAGAAGGAGTTGGAGGAACCCACTGGTGTTGCCACCACAACCCTGGGATGATCTTGGTGGCCACCATGGAGGAACCTCCATGGCCTCAGCAAGGAGAGGTTGAGGTGACCAACTGGATGGTGTCACCACAACCCTGAGATGGAGGAACTCATTGGACGATGCCACCAAGACCCTGCCATAATCTTAGTGGCCACCATGGAGGAACCCACAACCCCAAGATGATCTTGGTGGCCACCATGGAGGAACCCCCATGGCCTTGGAGCAAGGAGAAGTTGGTGGATGGTGGCACCAAGATCCTGCCATTATCTTGGTGGACACCATGGAGGAATCAACAAGACGGTGCCACCATGACCCTGAGATGATCTTATTGACCATCACGGAGGAATTGCCATGGTCTTGGAGCAAGGAGAAGTTGGTGGACAGTGCCACCACAATCCTGCCATGATCTTGGTGGACACCATGGAGGAACCTCCATGACCTTGGAACAAGGTGAAGTTGGTGGATGGTGGCACCAAGATCCTGCCATGACTCTGGTGGCCACCATGGAGGAATCAACAAGACGGTGCCACCACGACCCTGAGATGATCTTGGTGACCACCATGGAGGTTCCTCCATGGCCTTGGACAAGGAGTTGGAGGAACCCACTGGTGGTGCCACCACAATCCTGAGATGATCTTGGTGGCCACCATGGAGAAACCTCCATGGCCTTGGACAAAGAGAAGTTGGTGGATGGTGGCACCAAGACCCTGCCATGATTCTGGTGGCCACCATGGAGGAATCAATGACATGGTACCACCATGACCCTGAGATGATCTTGGTGACCACCATGGAGGAACTCTCTGGATGGTGCCACCAAGACTCTGCCATGATCTTGGTGGACACCATGGAGGAACCTCCATGGCCTTGGAGGAGGAGTTGGAGGAACCCACTGGTGGTGCCAGCACAACTCTGGGTTCCTCCATGTGGGTTCCTCCATGGTGGCCACCAAGATCATCTCAGGGTTGTGGTGGGACCATCCAGTGGGTTCCTCCACTTCATGCTCCAAAGCCATGGAGATCTTTCCATGATGGCCATCAGAATTATAGCAGGGTGTTGGTGCCACCATCCACCAACTTCTCCTTCTCCAAGGTCATGGAGGTTCCTTCATGGTGGCCACCAATGGAAGTTCCTCCATGATCTTGGACAAGGAGTTGGAGGAACCCACTGGTGGTGCCATCACAACCCTGAGATGATCTTGGTGGCCACCATGGAGGTTCCTCCATGRCCTTGGACAAGGAGAAGTTGTTGGATGGTGATACCAAAATCCTGCCATGACTCTGGTGGCCACCATGGAGGAATCAATGAGATGGTACCACCACAACCCTGAGATGATCTTGGTGGCCACCATGGAGGAACTCCCTGGATGGTGCCACCAAGACTCCGCCATGATCTTGGTGGGCACCATGGAGGTTCCTCCATGATCTTGGACAAGGAGTTGSAGGAACCCACTGGTGGTGCCACCACAACCCCGCCATGGAACAACCAGAGGATCAAAACCCCAGAAGATCAAACTCCCCCCATTTTTAGCCGCCATTTTGTCCCACCCCACCAGGAGATATCCCCACCGGCGGTGGCTTTACCTGAAGATGCCCTCGGTCTGGTCGCCGTTGAGGGCCAGCACCTCCTCGGAGAGCCGGGTCTGCACCCAGGGCAGTTGGCGCTCGGGGTAGCGCTCCTTCTGCATGGCCACGATGTCCTGCAGGGAGCTGCCGAACATGGACGGGTTGAACACGGCGTTCTTGGCGTGCCGGATCTCCTCGATGTTGGGCTTCTTCAGGCCCTGCGGGAGACACCCGTGGTCACCTGTGGTGGCCTCTGTGGTCACCTGCTCTGTCCCACCCCGCCCCTGCCACCGTCTTGGTGGGACCGTGGCCATGCTGGAGGATCTGCACCCATGGATGGTGGGAGGAGGGGGAGGAGGAGACACGGCTCTGGGACAGCCCCAGTGAGCTTCCAGAAAGTTCTCCAGAAGGTTCTCTGGAAGGTCTCTGGAAGGTGTCCAGAAGGTTCTCCAGAAAGTACTCAAGAAGGCCGCCAGAAAGTTCTCCAAAAGTCTCCAGTAATTCTCCAGAAAGTTCTCCAGAAGGTCTCCAGAGAGTTCTCAAGAGGTCGCCAGAAAGTTCTCAAAAGGTCGCCAGAAAATTCTCCAAAAGTCTTCAGAAGGTTCTCCAGAAAGTTCTCAAAAGATCGCCAGAAAGGTCTCCAGAAGATCTCCAGAAAGTTCTGCAGAAAGTTCTCAAGAATGTCTCCAGAAAGTTCTCCAGAACATTTCGAGTAGTTCTGCAGAAAGTCCTCCAGAAATTTCTCCAGAAGGTCTCCGGGTGGTCTCCAAAAAGTTGTCTGGAACGTCTCCAGTAGTCCTCCAGAAATTTCTCCAGAAGGTCGCCAGAAAGTTCTCCAGAAGATTTCCAGAAAGGTATCCAGAAGGTCTTCAGAAGGTTTCCAGAAGATCTCCAGAGAGTTCTCAAGAGGTCGCCAGAAAGTTCTCTACAGTTCTTCAGAAAGTTCTCCAGAAGGTCTCCAGAAAGTTCTCCAGAGAGTTCTCAAGAAGGTCTCCAGAAGGTCTCTGGAAGGTGTCCAGAAAGTTCTCAAAAGGTCGCCAGAAAGTTCTCCAAAAGTCTTCAGAAAGTTCTGCAGAAAGTTCTCAAGAATGTCTCCAGAAAGTTCTCCAGAAGGTCTCCAAAAAGTTCTCTGGAAGGTCTCCAGAAGGTCCTCCAGAAGGTCTCAAGAATGTCTCCCAAAGATTCTCCAGAAGATCCTTAGGAAGGTCCCAGAAGGTGCCCCCCACAAGGTCTCCAGAAGTTTCTCCAGAAGTTCTCCAGAAGGTTCTCCAGAAAGTACTCCAGATAGTACTCCATAAAGTTATCCATGAAGTTCTCCAGAAAGTTCTCCAGAAGGTCGCCAGAAAGTTCTCAAGAAGTTCTCCAGAAGGTTCTCCAGAAAATTTCCAGAAAGTTCTCCAGAAGGTCTCCAAAAAGTTGTCTGGAAGGTGTCCATTAGTCCTCCAGAAGTTCTCCAGAAGTTCTCCAGAAAGTTCTGCAGAAAGCTCTCCAGAAAGTTCTCCAGGTCTCAAGAAGGTCTCCAGAAAGTTATCCAAAAAGCTCTCCATAAAGGTCTGCAGAAGGTCTCCAGAAGGTCTCCAAAAAGTTCTCTGGAAGGTCTCCAGAAGGTCCTCCAGAAGGTCGCCAAAAAGTTATCCATAAAGTTCTCAAGAAGGTCTCCCAAAGGTTCTCCAGAAGGTCCTTAGGAAAGTCCCAGAAGGTGCCCCCCATAAGGTCTCCAGAAGGCTCTCCAGAAAGTACTCCACAAAGTTATCCATAAAGTTATCCATGAAGTTCTCCAGAAAGTTCTCCAGAAAGTTCTCCAGATGGTCTCCAAAAAGTTGTCTGGAAGGTCTCCAGTAGTCCTCCAGAAATTCTCCAGAAGGTCGCCAGAAAGTCTCCAAAAAGTTCTCTGGAAAGTCTCCAGAAAGTTCTCCTGAAGGTCTCCAGAAGTTTCTCCAGGAAGTTCTCCAGAATGTCTCCAAAAGGTTGTCCAGAAGGACTCTAGAAAGTTCTCCAGAATGTCCCAGGTCATCCCCACAGGGTCTCCAGAAAGTTCTCTAGAAGGTCTCCAGAGAGTTCTCCAGAAGGTTCCCAGAAGATCTCCAGGAGGCTCTCCAGAAGGTCCTTAGGAAGGTCCCAGAAGGTCCTCCCAATAAGGTCTCCAGAGAGTTCCCAGAAGGTTCCCAGAAGGTCTCCAGAAGGTCCTTAAAAGCTCCCCACATGATCCTCAGAAGTTCTCCAGAATTTTTCCAGAAGGTCCTTGGGATTTCCCCACATCTTTCTCAAAAGGTCTCCAGATTGTCTCCAGAAGGTCCTTAGGAAGGTCCCAGAAGGTCCTCCACACAGGGTATCCAGAGAGTTTCCAGAAGGTTCTCAGCAGATCTCCAAGAGTTCTCCAGAACATCCCCAGGTGTTGTCCAGAAGATCCCCAGGTCTTCAGAAGTTCTCCAGAAGATCCCCAGATGCTCTCCAGATGATCTGCAGCAGTTCACGAGAAGATCTCCAGGTCTCCACAAGATTTCCAGAAGATTCCCCCTAAGTTCTCCAGAAGTTCTCCAGGTCTCTGGAACATTCCCAGAAGATCCACGGAAGTTCTCCAGAAGTTCCCCAGAATTTCTCCAGATCCCCAGGTCTCCAGAAGATCTTCAGAAGATTCCCATACGCTCTCCAGAAGATCCTCGGAAGTTCTCCAGAAGATCCCCACACACTGTCCAGAAAACTCTCCAGGTTTCCAGAAGATCCCAAGAAAGTTCTTCAGAAAATTCTCCAGTTCTCCGGAAGATCCCCTGAAGTTCATGAGAAGATGCCCAGGTCTCCAGAAGTTCTCCAGAACATCCCCAGATGTTCTCCATACCATTCCCAGAAAGTTCTCCAGAAATTCTCCAAAGTTTTCCAGAGGACTCCCAGAAGATTCCCAGAAATTGTCCAGAAGTTCTCCAGGAGTTCTCCAGCAGTTCCCCATGAGTTCTCCAGAAGTTCCCCAGAAGGTCCCCAGAAAATTCTCTGGTTCTCCAAAAGTTCCCCAGAAGTTCTCCAGAACATTCCCCAGAGAGTTCTCCAGGTCTCCAGCAAGTTTTCAAGAAAGTCTTCAGAAAGTTCTGAAGAAAGTCTTCAGAAAGTTCTCCAGAAGTTCTGCAGGAGTTTCCCAGAAGTTCTCCAGAAAATTCTCTGGTTCTCCAAAAGTTCCCCAGAAGTTCTCCGTAAGTTCTCCAGAAATTGTCCAGAAGTTCTCCATGAGATCCCCAGAAGATCTCCAGAAGTTCCCAAGAAGTTCTCCAGAAGTTGTCCGGCAGTTCCCACCCGCTCTGGAGATGCCTTTGACGAAACCTCCCACACCCCGTCCCCACCTCCCTCCCTTCTCCAGCCCATCCCACCCCACCAACCCCGGATGGTCCGATGGAGGTCCCAGTGGAGGTCCCGGTGGAGGTCCTGGTGGAGGTCCTGTGGAGTTCACCTCCTTCAGCCTGTCCCATCCCTCCAGCCCCTGATGGTCCCAATGGAGATTCCAGTGGAGATCCCGGTGGAGGTCACCTCCTCCTCCACCCCACTGGCCCCAGATGGTCCTGATGGAGATCCCATGGAGGTCCTGGTGGAGCTCCTGGTGGAGGTCACCTCCTTGCCCACCCCACCCCACCGGCCCCAGATGGTCCTGGTGGAGATCCCAGTGGAGGTCACCTCCTCCAGCCCCTCCCCAGTCCCACCAGCCCTGGATGGTCCTGGTGAAGGTCACCTTCTCCAGCCCACCCCACCAGCCCCGGGATGATCCTGGTGGAGATCCCATGGAGGTCCTGGTGGAGCTCCTGGTGGAGGTGACCTCCTTCTCCAGCCCATCCTACCCCACTGGCCCCAGGTGGTCCTGGTGGAGGTCCCAATGGAGATCCCAGTGAAGGTCACCTCCTCCAGCCCCTCCACCAGTCCCACCAGCCCCAGATGGTCCCAATGGAGATTCCAGTGGAGATCCCGGTGGAGGTCACCTCCTCCTCCAACCCACCCCACCAGCCCCAGATGGTCCTGGTCGAGATCCCGGTGGAGATCCCAGTGAAGGTCACCTCCTTCTCCAGCCCACCCCACCCCACCAGCTCCAGATGTCCCGGTGGAGATCCTGTGGAGGTCCTGGTGGAGGTCCCAGTGAAGGTCACCTCCTCCAGCCCATCCCACCCCACCGGCCCCAGATGGTCCTGGTGGAGGTCCTGGTGGAGATCCCAGTGAAGGTCACCTCCTTCTCCAGCCCCTCCACCAGTCCCACCAGCTCCAGGATGGTCCCGGTGGAGGTGACCTCCTTCTCCAGCCCGTCCCACCCCAGCAGCTCCAGATGGTCCTGATGGAGGTTCTGGTGGAAAACCCGGTGGAGGTGACCTCCTTGTCCAGCTCATCCCACCCACCGGCCCCAGATGGTCCCAGTGGAGATCACAGTGGAGACCTGGTGGAGCTCCTGGTGAAGGTGACCTCCTTCTCCACCCCGTCCCACCCCACTGGCCTCAGATGGTCCTGGTGGAGATCCCATGGAGGTCCTGGTGGAGCTCCTGGTGGAGGTGACCTCCTTCTCCAGTCCATCCTACCCCACTGGCCCCAGATGTCCCGGTGGAGGTCCCGGTGAAGGTCCCAGTGAAGGTCACCTCCT